ACCCAGGTAACCCAGGGTAGGAGTGTTAGCCACCCAGGTAACCCAGGGTAGGAGTGTTAGCACCCAGGGTTAACCCAGGTAGGGTGTTTAGCCCCAGGATAACCCAGGGTAGGGAATGTTTAGCCACCCAGGATAACCCAGGGTAGGGAGTGTTAGCCACCCAGGATAACCCAGGGTAGGGAGTGTTAGCCACCCAGGATAACCCAGGGTAGGGAGTGTTAGCCACCCAGGTAACCCAGTGGTAGGGAGTGTTAGCCACCAGGATAACCCAGGGTAGGGAGTGTTAGCCACCCAGGAAACCCAGGGTAGGGAGTGTTAGCCACCCAGGATAACCCAGTGGTAGGGAGTGTTAGCCACCCAGGGTAACCCAGGGTAGGAGTGTTAGCTACCCAGGATAACCCAGGGTAGGGAGTGTTAGCCACCCAGGTAACCCAGGGTTAGGGAGTGTTAGCCACCCAGGGTAACCCAGGGTAGGGAGTGTTAGCCACCCAGGGTAATCCCAGGGTAGGAGTGTTAGCCACCCAGGTAACCCAGGGTTGGGAGTGTTTAGCACCCATGAACCCAGGGTAGGGATGTTTAGCCACCAGGTATCCCAGGTAGGAGTGTTAGACTACCCAGGATAACCCAGGTAGGAGTGTTTAGCCACCCAGTAACCCAGGGTAGGAGTGTTTAGCCACCACCGGTAACCATGGTAGGAGTGTTAGCTACCAGATAACCAGGGTAGGGAGTGTTAGCCACCCAGGTAACCCAGGTAGGGATTGTTAGCCACCCAGGATACCCAGGGTAGGGAAGTTTAGCCACCCAGGATAACCCAGGTATGGAGTGTTAGCTACCCAGGTAACCCAGGGTAGGGATTGTTAGCCACCCAGGATAACCCAGGTGGGAGTGTTAGCCACCAAGGGGTAACCCCAGGGTAGGGAGTGTTAGCCACCAGGTAACCCAGGGTAGGGAGTGTTATCCACCAGATACCCAGGGTGGATGTTTAGCCACCCATGGTAACCCAGGGTAGGGAGTGTTAGCCACCCAGGGTATAACCCAGGTGGAGGTGTAGCACCCAGATAACCCAGTGGTATGGAGTGTTAGCCATCAGGTAACCCAGGGAAGGGAGTGTTAGACCACCAGTAACCCAGGTAGGGAGTGTTAGCTCCCAGAATAACTCAGAAGTAGGGAGTGATTAGCCACCCAGGTAACCCAGGTAGGATGTTAGCCACCCAGGTAACCAGGGTAGGGAGTGTTAGCCTACCCAGGATAACCCAGGGATGGAGTGTTAAGCCACCCAGGTAACCCAGGGTAGGGATTGTTAGCTACCCAGTAATCCAGGTAGAAGTGTTAGCACCAAGTATCCCAGGGGGAAGTGTTAGCTACCCATAACCCAGTAAATGTCAGACCCGATAACAAGGTACGGTCATGTGTTACCATTAGGTCCTCAGGTAGGGGTGTTCGCTCCCGCCGGAACCCAGGGTAGGGTGGCTACCCAGACCCAGGTCGGGAGCGTTTAGACAGGCCCAGGGTAGGGATGGTTACCACGCCAGGGAACAGGACAGGAGAGGTGTACAGGAAATGCATAAAGTGTTATCTGGCCCGCGAGGAATGTCAGGCCCCCGTGTCCAGTGAAGGGAGGTGTTAGCTAACCAGATTCCAGGGTATGGAAGTGTTAGTACCACAGGACTAATATAGAATGTTAACTAAAGATATAATGCAGTTGAAGGCTGAGGTGTATATTATGGTAACTTTGTATGCGACCATTACCTGATAAACACGTATATGTGCTATGTAACTAGACTGTGTTAAAAATATCAAAGTATGTTCGCCCCTGGACCCATAGGTATTTGTTATTGACTCCCCGCTGTGAAGCGGATGGGTTTACCAACCAGGCACGGGTATTCGCCTTGGCCAAAGGCTTGAGCATTCTAGAGTTTAAATCTGCTGGAGCGATGGTTCAACGCTAACTGTTCCCTGTCCTGGTATAACAACGTAAAAGACATATTGCTGTTTTTATCAAGTATGTATAAGTTGGTATATGTACTTTGTAATATTTTGATACACGATGGTGTAAACCATGGAATCGAGCCCTGCTTGAAAATGAAGTTTACTGCAGGGGGTTAAACCTAATCTCGTGTCGCGGGTTTTTACCGACCAGAAGACATGGTTGTATTTGACTGCTGGTAATATTAATGACACGAGTGACGCCGAGACACAGTACGGGTGTCGCGGTTAATATGCAGTGTGACGGCGCGGTACCGACCACAGGACGGGGTGTCTGAGGTAATAATGCAGTGTGACGGCGAGGTACCGACCACAGACGGGTGTCTGCATGGTAATAATGCAGTGTGACGGCGAGGTTACCGACCACAGGTACGGTGTTGCTGGTAATAATGCAGTGTGACGGCGAGGTACCGACCACAGGACGGGTGTCTAGGTAATAATGCAGTGTGACGGCGAGGTACCGACCACAGGACGGGTGTCTGCTGTGTAATAATGCAGTGTGACGGCGAGGTACCGACCACACGGACGGGTGTTGCTGGGTAATATGCAGTGTGACGGCGCGGTACCGACCACAGGGACGGGTGTCTTGTAATAATGCAGTGTGTACGGCGCGGTACCGACCACAGGACGGGTTGTCTAGTGTAATAATGCAGTGTGACGGCGATGGGTACCGACCACAGGACGGGTTGCTGGTGTAATAATGCAGTGTGACGGCGATGTACCGACCACAGACGGGTGTATGCTGGGTAATAATGCAGTGTGACGGCGAGGTACCGACCACAGGACGGGTGTCTGCTGGTAATATGCAGTGTGACGGCGCGGTACCGACACAGGACGGTGTCTAGGTAATAATGCAGTGTGACGTGCGAGTACCGACCACAGGACGGGTGTCTGCTGTGTAATAATGCAGTGTGACGGCGAGGATAACCGACCACAGGACGGGTGTATGCTGGGTAATAATGCAGTGTGACGGCCGAGGTACCGACCACAGGACGGGTGTCTGCTTGGTAATAATGCAGTGTGACGGCGAGGTACCGACCACAGGACGGTGTCTAGTAATAAGCGTGTGACGGGCGAGGTACCGACCACAGGACGGGTGTCTGCTGGGTAATAATGCGTGTGACGGCGCGTACCGACCACATGGACGGTGCTAGGTAATAATGCAGTGTGACGGCGAGGTACCGACCACAGGACGGGTGTCTGCTGTGTAATAATGCAGTGTGACGGCGAGGTACCGACCATAGGACGGGTGTATGCTGGGTAATAATGCAGTGTGACGGCGAGGTACCGACCACAGGACGGGTGTCTGCTGGGTAATAATGCAGTGTGACGGCGAGGTACCGACCACAGGACGGGTGTCTAGGTAATAATGCAGTGTGACGGCGAGGTACCGACCACAGGACGGGTGTCTGCTGGGTAATAATGCAGTGTGACGGCGCGGTACCGACCACAGGACGGGTGTCTAGGTAATAATGCAGTGTGACGGCGAGGTACCGACCACAGGACGGGTGTCTGCTGTGTAATAATGCAGTGTGACGGCGAGGTACCGACCATAGGACGGGTGTATGCTGGGTAATAATGCAGTGTGACGGCGAGGTACCGACCACAGGACGGGTGTATGCTGGGTAATAATGCAGTGTGACGGCGAGGTACCGACCACAGGACGGGTGTCTGCTGGGTAATAATGCAGTGTGACGGCGAGGTACCGACCACAGGACGGTTGTATGCTGGTAAAATGCAGTGTGACGGCGAGGTTACCGACCACAGGACGGTGTCTAGGTAATAATGCAGTGTGACGGCGAGGTACCGACCACAGGACGGGTGTATGCTGGGTAATAATGCAGTGTGACGGCGAGGTACCGACCACAGGACGGGTGTCTGCTAGGTAATAATGCAGTGTGACGGCGAGGTACCGACCACAGGACGGGTGTATGCTGGGTAATAATGCAGTGTGACGGCGAGGTACCGACCACAGACGGGTGTATGCTGGTAATAATGCAGTGTGAACGGCGAGGTACCGACCACAGACGGGTGTATGTGGTAATAATGCAGTGTGACGGCGAGTACCGACCACAGAACGGGTGTCTAGGTAATAATGCAGTGTGACGGCGAGGTACCGACCACAGGACGGGTGTATGCTGGGTAATAATGCAGTGTGACGGCGAGGTACCGACCACAGGACGGGTGTATGCTGGGTAATAAAGATATTAAACTAAACTAGGCGAGCTATCACTCTTAAGGGTTTGAAGAAAAGTTGAGAAAAAATGAATTAAATGTTTAGAATTGTTTACGAGACCATTCAAAGACGACACATCAGTTGTTAATGACACATACACACACACACACACAAGAGGAACCATACATAGTTTCAAAACGAGGTATGATAAACCTCACTGAGCAGGGAGAGAGAGGACCTAGTAGCGATCAGTGAAGAGGTGGAGCCAGGAGCTATGAATAGACCCCTGCATCCACAAATAGGTGAGTACACACTATACAACATATGTGAGACCCATGTTAGAGTACACAGCACCAGTATGCAGCTCACACCTTAAGAAGTCTGTCAAGAAACAGGAAGAAGTGAAGCAGTAAACAGTGAGAGGTGTTAGTGAGTTACGGTACAGGAGCTGTTACAAGACGTTAATGGAAGTGAATCTAACAACAATGGAGGACATAAGAGCAAGGGGAGATATAACAACATACAAAATATTCCAGGGAATTGATACGATAGACTTGGAAAGGTTGTTTGAGAGTCGAGAAATGAGTATTATTGGACACAGCTGGAAGTTTAAGACACAGGGATGTTTGGAAGTATATCTTCAGTTTCAGAGTGGTCGCAGAGTGGGATGACCTCGATGAAGAAGTGGTGGAGGCAGAGCTTTAAGAGCAGGTACGATAATGTCCACAAAGATAAGAAGGAGTGAAAATGGCAAGTGGCAAGCTAAGAAGTGGGGTCAGGAGCTAAGAACTGACCTCTGCAACCACATATAGGTGAGTACACGTAGCCACAAACTTACTGATTCTTTTAAGATCATAAGACAGCGGATCATAGGTACCAGTTCATCCTTCGTGATACCTAAATCAACGAGATGATTCTCGAAAGTACAGTGATGGACACAACTTTCATCGCTCTCACCAGACTCTGCAACAACAGATAAAATATTATGGCTTTAACACTTATTATAATGTTTTCGTGGAATACAATAAATGATAAATTAATAAATATGTAAAGGAAATGAACTCCAGTACTCCAATAATTCATGACAGTGAGATGAGACGGTCTGTGGTTCTCACAAACTAGAACAATACAATAACAACTTGATAGGCATTTCTAGAGTCAACATTTTTGCCCCAAAATAAAGCTGGGACACAAAGTACTAACTTTCTTCACTTGAACTGGCAGGATTGTAGGTGTAACCCAGCTCGGTGGCACAGATGGTGATGTTTTCAATCATTCTGTCTTTCCAGTCGCCCACATGATCGTGCATGGAAGGATTGTGGTGGTGTCTGCAACTGTCCATGTTAGCATCACACCTGGTCTTGTCAGCGTGCACACACAGCTCATCAGCTGAGGGAACACATCACCAGGTAAAGCTTTATCTTCAAACACAGAATATAAAACCACATTAGAGCCTAAACTTTTGCTGTAATATTCTTATACGGCCAACAGTTCAAAGAAAGTTTTAAGTTCGTATGTCATGGAGTCCTCACAAATGAAGGGTTATAGCGATTCAGCAAGATTAAATTTTTTTCCTTAAATGAGTCGTATATAATAAACCAGGAAGCACCTCGCACAAAGTTTCTCAGTAGTTTCAGTATTGACTTACTCAGGGCGTCCATGGCGATTTCTGGGCCAACATCTGGGCAGGCGCTAGTTCCTTCACTTGCTTGGGGCGAGGCATCAGCAACCATCACTACTAATGCCACCATCAACAACGCAGACATCAAAACCTTCATGGTGTAACTACACGACAACCTGAAGGATATACCGTAGTTATAGGAGAAAGAAACCACGACCTGATGCAGGGAGTGAAGGAAGTCCAGATACTCTTATTACTTGCCGTCTCTGTAAGACAGAGAGAGAGAGAGGTCCTGGGATCCTCCTCAGTTCCCAGTAATCCAAGCAGGAGATTGGACAGGTAGGCTGGGCCTCCCTTCTCACACTCTGCAATATAGTGTTACCATCCAACAAGTGTGTTTATCTCCAACCTTAATATCTCCTACGAACCCGCCACGACAAATGGTGGTGGCGGTGGGATGGATTGATCCAGTGAAGTGGATGAGGTCTCCCCTGTTGAAATAGCACCGACCCATTGGTCAGGTGGGGGTAAGGATAGTGAACCAGGTCAATGAGATTGGTATTTGCCCAGAGACGAACACTGTGACCAGAATTGTTAGCAATGAATAAATGGATCTTACTGTCTCTTACAACATGTAAGGATGGTTCAACAAATAAACCCTTGACCTTGCAGGAATCACTGTCAACTTGGACGTTATCACCATCTGGAACACTAGGAACAACAACAGATACTCTAGTGAGAGCACTAGCCGCAACAGAGACGTATTTCTGCAGATGGCACGTGACATCAACAAGAGATGGCATTACTATTTTCAAATAATCGTTCTCTGACAAGGCATCCCCTGTGGAGAAACTACTACTTGAACAGTCATTGCAGAGATAGGCTGTGCACTCAAGGCAGTCTGAGTGTCCTCGGACACTTGAGGCAACGGAACACTATCCTGCATGTCTGAAGGTGTAGGTGGAACACAGATGGGAGTGACAGAGTTATTAGTGCCTGACCGCTTGGGTACGCTACTGGAAAATGCATTGGCTTGTAAGGACTTAATCCGAACGTCGTACTCTGCGGCAGTATGGCAGATCTCTGATCCAAGTTGGTAACCCCAAAATGGAACGAGCAAGTCGTCAATTTGAGCATGCTAACGGTAAGAGTCAAGCACAATACATAAGTCCCTCATGGAAGCAAATCCCAGTAGACGGTCACCAGGGAAAGTAATCTGGTCAACAACAAGGAAAGAAACAGAAAGGTGGGGGAAGTCTGACCTCGGACATGCAGAAGGGAACCAGCTACTCCACTAAGGGAGGTTACAGTAGTTGGTTCAACGAGGAGGACACGTCGCAACTACTTATCTTTAAACAAACTAGACCTGATAATATTAACTTGCGCATCAGAGTCCATGAACGCATAGATGCTTGCACTAGAGGACCTATCATTTCATTGGGAGTTATGTGCAGACAAAAAGGTGGATTGTCATTGGAGAAGGCATGTTCCACTTCATCCCCAAATTCATCTACGTCAGAGACGTGTGAAGCAACATCATTTACAGGATTATCATTCTAGAGACTGCTTAAGGCTTCAAAGGAATTGTGAACAGGGATGGTGTACTCATTATCACCTACTGTCACCACGGGACGGGTTGACTGGGGCGCTCGGATTCCCTCCGAATTGGAAGAATGAGGCTGGTTCTGGTTATTCTGAGAACCCCGACCTCTATTTCCTATCCTGGCTCCGCAGTTGGAACGGCCACAGAAGGATCTAGAGTACTGAAGGTAGTAGAGAGCATTGCACTCGGATGTGTCATGGCCATGAATTCTGTGATATGAACAATAAGACAGATCGGACTGGTACTCATCAGCGACTCATAGAGAGGCTATCAGGACGATGAATGAAGTTGTCAACTGTGTGTTTTGCTATCAGTTGATCAGTTTTCAGATATTTTTTTTGTGTTCACGTCCCCTCCGAATTCTGAGATTAGCAGTACTGATCTGTGTGCGCCAGATTTGCCTTGCTGTTTATTTACTTTCACCTTTGTAAATATATATTAATTCTTCCTCAGAATCCGTAGAGTGCATGAATACAGATCGATTGCTCAATTCCATCCTTTATTATAATGTGATTTGTACTGATAATTTGTAATGCATTATGTTAACATCCATTATGATACCATCCATTAGTTCTAAGTTACATATGTCTTTGTTATTGTATAGAATCGGCCCAGAGCGACCTGCCTGTTCAGCCTATGGCATAGTATTGTATGTCGAGACGACATACGTAACATGACCAAGCTGTCAGCATAGTTGCTGATCCCCTACATGTGTTGTACAGCTTATCTGAGTATCATAGTTAGCACCATCTGTATGTTTTACATACACAATCCCTTGCTAGGCCTAGGGACTAGTTAGTGTGACATCACGTGACGGTGTTGTGAGCCCTTCGCGCCTGGAATCCTCCTCAGTTCCCGGTAATCCAAGCAGGCGATAGGACAGGCAGGCTGGGCCTCCCTTCTCACACTCTGCAATATACTTTTACCATCCAACAAGTGTGTTTATCTCCAACCTTCATATCTCCTATGAACCCGCCACGACATCTGTGTAAGAGACAGAGAGGGATAGAGAGGTCCTCACGGTGTCTGTGTAAGAGACAGAGAGGGATAGAGAAGCCTTCACGGTGTCTGTGTGAGAGACAGAGAGGGATAGAGAGGTCCTCACAGTGTCTGTGTAAGAGACAGAGAGGGATAGAGAGGTCCTCACGGTGTCTGTGTGAGAGACAGAGAGGGATAGAGAGGTCCTCACGGTGTCTGTGTGAGAGACAGAGAGGGATAGAGAGGTCCTCACGGTGTCTGTGTGAGAGACAGAGAGGGATAGAGAGGTCCTCACGGTGTCTGTGTAAGAGACAGAGAGGGATAGAGAGGTCCTCATGGTGTCTGTGTAAGAGACAGAGAGGGATAGAGAGGTCCTCACGGTGTCTGTGTGAGAGACAGAGAGGGAGAGAGAGGTCCTCACGGTGTCTGTGTAAGAGACAGAGAGGGATAGAGAGGTCCTCACTGTGTCTGTGGAAGAGACAGAGAGGGATAGAGAGGTCCTCAAGGTGTCTGTGTAAGAGACAGAGAGGGATAGAGAGGTCCTCACGGTGTCTGTGTAAGAGACAGAGAGGGATAAAGAGGTCCTCACGGTGTCTGTGTGAGAGACAGAGAGGGATAGAGAGGTCCTCACGGTGTTTACCTGGAGTTTAACTGGAGAGAGTTCCGGGGGTCAACGCCCCCGCGGCCCGGTCTGTGACCAGGCCTCCTGGTGGATCAGAGCCTGATCAACCAGGCTGTTACTGCTGGATGCACGCAAACCAACGTACGAGCCACAGCCCGGCTGATCAGGAACCGACTTTAGGTGCTTGTCCAGTGCCAGCTTGAAGACTGCCAGGGGTCTGTTGGTAATCCCCCTTATGTATGCTGGGAGGCAGTTGAACAGTCTCGGGCCCCTGACACTTTTTGTATGGTCTCTTAACGTGGTAGTGACACCCCTGCTTTTCATTAGGGGGATGTTGCATCGTCTGCCAAGTCTTTTGCTTTCGTAGTTTACCTGGAGTTTACCTGGAGAGAGTTCCGGGGGTCAACGCCCCCGCGGCTCGGTCTGTGACCAGGCCTCCTGGTGGATCAGCCCCTGATCAACCAGGCTGTTGCTGCTGGCTGCACGCAAACCAACGTACGAGCCACAGCCCGGCTGATCCGAACCGACTTTAGGTGCTTGTCCAGTGCCAGCTTGAAGACTGCCAGGGTCTGTTGGTAATCCCCCTTAGGTGTGCTGGGAGGCAGTTGAACAGTCTCGGGCCCCTGACACTTATTGTATGTCTCTTAACGTCTAGTGACACCCCTGCTTTTCACTGAGGGGATGGTGCATCGTCTGCCAAGTCTTTTGCTTTCGTAGTGAGTGATTTTCGTGTGCAAGTTCGTACTAGTCCCTCTAGGATTTTCCAGGTGTATATAATCATGTATCTCTCCCTCCTGAGTTCCAGGGAATACAGGTTTAAAACCTCAAGCGCTCCCAATAATTGAGGTGTTTTTTCTCCGTTATGCGCGCCGTGAAAGTTCTCTGTACATTTTCTAGGTCGGCAATTCACCTGCCTTGAAAGGTGCTGTTAGATGTGCAGCAATATTCCAGCCTAGATAGAACAAGTGACCTGAAGAGTGTCATCATGGGCTTGGCCTCCCTAGTTTTGAAGGTTCTCATATCCATCCTGTCATTTTTCTAGCAGATGCGATTGATACAATGTTATGGTCCTTGAAGGTGAGATCCTCCGACATGATCACTCCCAGGTCTTTGACGTTGGTGTTTCCCTCTAATTTGTGGCCAAATTTGTTTTGTACTCTGATGAAGATTTAATTTCCTCATGTTTACCATATCTGAGTAATTGAAATTTCTCATCGTTGAACTTCATATTGTTTTCTGCAGCCACTGAAAGATTTGGTTGATGTCCGCCTGGAGCCTTGCAGTGTCTGCAATGGAAGACACTGTCATGCAGATTCGGGTGTCATCTGCAAAGGAAGACACGGTGCTGTGGCTGACATCCTTGTCTATGTCAGATATGAGGATGAGGAACAAGATGGGAGCGAGTACTGTGCCTTGTGGAACAGAGCTTTTCACCGTGCCTGCCTCGGACTTTACTCTGTTGACTACTACTCTCTGTGTTCTGTTAGTGAGGAAATTATAGATCCATCGACCGACTTTTCCTGTTATTCCTTTAGCACGCATTTTGTGCGCTATTACGCCAAGGTCACAATTGTCGAAGGCTTTTGCAAAGTCTGTATATATTACATCTGCTTTCTTTTTGTCTTCTAGTGCATCTAGGACATTGTCGTAGTGATCCAATAGTTGAGACAGACAGGAGCGACCTGTTCTAAACCCATGTTGCCCTGGGTTGTGTAACTGATGGGTTTCTAGATGGGTGGTGATCTTGCTTTAAAGGACTCTTTCAAAGATTTTGATGATATGGGATGTTAGTGCTATCGGTCTGTAGTTCTTTGCTGTTGCTTTACTGCCCCCTTTGTGGAGTGGGGCTATGTCTGTTGTTTTTAGTAACTGTGGGACGACCCCCGTGTCCATGCTCCCTCTCCATAGCATGGTAAAAGCTCGTGATAGCCTCTATCATGCAGTTCTTGATGAACACGGAGTTCCATGAGTCT